AGCCAAATACCAAATGTGCTCTCTCATTAGGGATGTCTTAGTTGTGGGGACTCAACGCAGTGATTGTTCAGATTCATGGAGCATCCTGAGCTCACACTCACTTAATTCAGAGCTGTGGATCATCAGAAGCTTGGAAATCTGAGGCTCTGGGTCCTGGCTTCAGCCCACCTGATTTTAGGTAGCTACCTGAAGATCCAGAGCTAGGAGCTTCATCACACCAGTCTTCACCAGCAGCCCCCGCAGAGCTGTGCACCTCCACGGGCAGCACAGGGTTGAATTGCCCTCCTGACAAGCATCTGCATCCTGGCTGGTGTCTAAAGGGCATGTGTGATGAACTGGGCCAAGACAAGTAAAATTTGCAGCATGCAAAGTTTGTGACCAGAGTTGAAGATTTGGTGGGAAGTGGTTTGTCCAAGACGTCAGAGGGAATAAGTGTAAAAACCAAGGGCATCCTGACGCCTGGCTTTGTGCTCAGAGCTAGCAGTGGAAAAAAGTATTTCAAAAATCCTGCATATCTTTGAGGTCCAAATTTTTTCTCACACATTTAGGCAGCTAACAGGATGATTTTTGCATAGAGGTTAGACACCTTTTTTTTTTTTGTGGATGATTATGGATGCTCTGAGACCTGCTGTCATGCCATGTGCTGGGTATTTCCATCCTCTGCTCACTACTTTCCATTATTCAGTGATGACTCGCACTGATTGTATGAGGGAAAACAAATTCTACTTTGGATCAGACAGGTGGCCCACTAACACCTCAAATTAGTAATAACCAACAGCAATAAACAATGAAAAGCAGAATCTTGGTGGGGGTGGCATTATAATTTGGGCAGGTGCATTCTTGGGAAGGGATTATGAAAAATCAGTTTTCTAAGGTTGAGTTCAGTGCATCAGACATATTTCTACTTATGTATTTCCAATACAGAATTAAAAGCAAATATTCCCATGGCAGTTGCTATTAAATCTCAAACTGCTTCAGTTCTCTCCGTTCATGCATCCTGCCTCCCCTTCTCTCCAGATGATTTGACCCAGTTGTGTAACAAAGGTGTCGAGTGATTTACACAGTTAGTAGGAACTGATCTTGCTCTGGGGGTTTCTTCACCCAGGTGCCCAGACCAGCTCTCTGAAATGCTTTAAACAGCTGCTGCTTAACAGACTGGTACGTCTGAGCCACCAGCTTTGCCTCGCTGTACACTGATGGCATGTCTCCATGGCTTGGTACTCGTGTGCTCAGCTGCAGAACAAAAATCAGGGAAGGGGAAAAAATGAAATAATAATAAAAAACCAACCTACAAGCCAAAAGAAACAGGAGGCTTCAGTAGCTGTATAATCTCCCTGTCTACATTTCATAAGCAACAAACAAACTATCACTGTGCTTTGTGTGTTTGCTTTTGGTTTAACAACAAGAAAAACAGGAAAGCAATAAAATGCAAGTGACATGGTTTCGAGCAATTGCAAGGAGGAAAGGGGTGAACAGCTTTGCCTCAGAGTGAGCATAGGCAGGAGCAAATCTTGGTGCGTTCTACAAAGGCAGAATGCTACTTCTCAGTTAAGATGATTTTTAGGGAGAAAAAGGAAAAAAAACACCTTTCTGGAAATCTTTAAAGAATGTGCTTGGTTTAGTCTGGAGCAGCTCAGTGCTTCCAAGCAATGAAAGAAACAGAAGGAGGGTTGCCTTCCACACTCTCATTTCCCATCTGTAATCTGTTATTGCTGGAAATTCAGTGAAACCTGTCCAGGGCAGGGTAGAAATCAGGTATCAGGGTTTGTGCTGCTGTGGGAAATCCAAGTGCTCTGTTGGAACACTGGAGCCTCCCACCAGGAACTGTCTCGAGCAATGCCACATGTTCAGTGTCCCTCAAACCCTGCAAGGACATGCAGGAATGAGCACCCTTCACCCTGCAGAAGGACTAAATAAATGAACTCCTCTGACCTGCCCAAGTCTCCACAGTTTCAAACCAGCAATAAGGCTTTGATGTTATACAAAAGAAACCAAAGTCTGAAAAATGCCTTGGAACAAGCAATTGGGTGAACGTCTAATGCTTACA